GTATTTGCAAAAGGAAAACGTCCCCCAGTGGGAGTCGCAGCACTCGCTGAAGTAGCGCTGATCCTTGTTAAACCTGGCGTTTAGCTGCCCCTGAGCCGTTTGAAATTCGGCTTTACGCGGTGCGCTGCAGACCTCGGGAGCCAGCGATCAGAAAGCCAAAAATGCGCTTCTGCACGCCTGATTGCAGAGCCTCTTCCTGGTTTTTTTTTAAAACTTTTTTTGTACCAGTTAGCCAGTCAGCTTATGCTCATGTTTCATTTAGGTATTGTACATTTACAATTAATGAGTCTTATGGTTAAAAGCGAGTAAAACAAGTCATGATACTTCTATTCTTCTTCTTCCCCCCCCACCCCCCCCCCCCCAGCGTATCTCTTTTCTATGGTCATAGAGCTTTCTACTTGTTACTTTTCCCATGTCCCCTTCTTAAATACACCATTGTTTTGGCTATTTGGAGATGGAAAATAGATTTGTTTTTTCACATCTGAAGGATATTTGCAAGGCAGTAACAGTTTGTATTGTCTGCCCGGAGAACCGTAGCTGACCAAAGGTGCCTTATGCTTTTCATGAGTGTGAAAGCTATACAACAAATACCCTTCAATAGCGGCTTGAGCAAACTGCCAAAAGAAGAAAATGAATGTGCAGACAAGCACTTTCTTTATTGGGAGTGCATTTCTGTGCTCTCTCTGGTTAGTGACGTGCAGTTTGGCAAAGTAGTGTAAATACTCCTAAGAAATGTTTATTGGTGAAGTAATTCTTCATAAATAAACCTGTTTGAAATTATAAGCACATGTTTTAAGACATAAATTTCCTAATAGTGGAATATAGAGCAGTATTCAGTCACTTTGTGCTTGCTGCCAGAAAGCCACTGCATGGAGGAAGCTTCCTAGCTAGTTATCCGGGATGAGTGTGAGGAAGTAGAAAAACGACATTTGGCAGTTGTAGCCTCTTCTGCAGGTAGAGAGAGAGTTTTCTTGGGAGGCAGTGGGGTGTTCATTTCAGGTTAGCTCAGGTAAGAAAGTAGCTAGTTTTTGTCTAAGAGCATCAAGAGACCTTATTTTTAGGAGTAACAATTATGTAAGAAGCTAGAGCTTTCAGAGATAAATTCTTGACTGCTCACCAGAAAGAGTTGACCAGCTTTGCTCACTGGAGTAAGCCAAGTCACGAATTACATTTCTCTTATCTTCTGTAGTTGATCTAGTACATTGTTGTCATGAAACAAAGGTGATTTCAGTGTTCAAATACTGCTTTACTGCATTGATATTCTTTTCCCTCTCAAAGCTGAATTCAAATGCCAAATTTTTATTCATTTGTAGATTTGTAATATAATAAAGTGCTAGAGTTATTAACATGAATACATATCTTCTAAGTGCTGTAACTACTTGAGTGCATACATCCACCTGGCTACAAAAGGAGATGCCAAGCTGAGATTAAACTGGTTTAAATTGGCATGCATCAGTGTTTACTTGTCTATGTTAGTTAGCCTTTTTCTGTGAATTAAAGCAACAAAACAAATGCCCAAGAAATGCCAGAAATTGTCACCCTTAGAGTTCCAAAATCAGCTTGAGTCAAGAAGTGGTCTACGTGAAAGAGTTCTCCGATGGCTTCAGTGCGGGCCACCTGATGGACCATGAGCCAAACTGAGTGTGGGGAGTGCTTCCCTCCAGCCTGCTGCCCCTTCCCAGGCAGAGTCCAGGGTCTGTTTTCCAGGACTAAACATAACTGCAGGGGCCAGAGGCCACCAGCCTGCTCGCGGTCCGGTCCAGAAACGCAGCGCTGCTGTGGCCGCTGCATCTGCCGCGGGGGCAGCTGTCGCAAATGGTCACTGACCACAGTGGTGGTTTCTGAATGCTTGTTTATGGCCTGATAAAAAGCAGGGTCGGACAGGTAAGAGCTACACATGTGGTCAAGTCTTTACTTTGAATCTACAAAACATTGTACTCTTAAAAAAATTGTCTCAGATTGAGCAAATGAAGCTAGTCAGTGTTTTGACTATTTGATTTTTTCCTCATCTCCAAACTGTGGACAGTAAGAACAGTGTATGCTATGTTTTCCAAAAGTAAATTGCAAAGTGTTGGATTGACACAGTGATAAAAGACCATGAGATAAGGGGGTATACGTACCTCCCCTTCACATGAGCAGAGTATTATTGGCACATGTCTCTGTTCAGCCTGTACCAGGGCTAAGCTGTAACAGTTGTTTTTATCACCCGATGAACCCTCACCAGCCTGGGAGGGGAATCGGGGGGGAAAAGGAGAGCAGACCTGTGGATAGAAGTGTCACGGATTTAATGAAATACCACCAATACCAAGCGAGATACTCAGCCAAATGAATATCCAGTTGTCACAATTGACCAGAGAGCAGTCCTGGGGAGAAGCCGGAGGAGGAACAGGAGGAACCCCACAGGAGCTCCCTCTGCTCAGCAAACCTTCCCCCTTTACAGTGGGCACTACGTTATGGGATGGGCTGTGCCTGCAGCTCACTTGGGTCAGCTGCCCTGGCTGACCTGAGCCTGCCTAGCACGGCTGGGATGTGTGACTCTATCCCAGCCAAACCAGGACAGCGTAAAAAAAGTATAAAGAATTGTTTGCTAGATTAGAGGGGTTTTCCCATTAATTGCTGAGGTAGATTATGGATTACAAGTTTTAAATTAGTATTTGATAACCTATTACATTTTTAGAGTGAATATGAAGAGCGTGCATGGGTTTGAAAGATGGAATACTTCAGAATACTGGGTTGTTTTTGTTTTTTTTTTTTTTTCTTCTTCCTTAAAATAGCCCTAAGTCACAGGATTCTCATGCATGCATAATTGTAGCAGAGCTCTACTACTTGCTTGTTTTGGTGTTACAGCAAGAAACTTTATGCAGAATTTGTTGAATCTACTATCTTCAGTTTGGAGCAGAACGTTAGAGGCATAAGATCAGTTGTCCCAGAGAGTGAGAGATGAAATTTAATTACTTTTTCCATATCCCAAGGAAGAATATCCTAGCAATCGTGATACTGTACTCAGTTGGCAAAATGATTGCTCAGGGAGGGGAATTATTGTAAGGAACATGGTCCCTTTGTGGATGATCTCCTTCTGCCACAGTGTAACTCAAATTGAAAGCACTCACCCGAGTCTTTTCTGCCAGATGGAATCAACTTGGTTTAGTTAAATATTGTGTGTTTTTAGAAACAAATCAGAATTATTTTTCAGTGAGTGAGAAAAAAGTCTCTGTGATGAACAAAAAGGATGGATTTTGGTATCATGGCACAGCTAGTGAATTTTGTATTTCTTTTTGTTTTTTCATATTCAAGGCTTATATGAATCCCATAGCAATGGCCAGAGCGCGAGGTCCTGCCCAAAATTCGGGACCAACGATACAAGACTACTTGAACAGGCCAAGACCAACATGGTAAGTGGCAACACTTGTCTGCCTTTCTGACCTTTTGGGTAAAAGATTTGTTCCCCTTTACTGTGATGACACTTGTACCTACCTCCTCCCTAGAATACCAGTAATATCTTTTTGAAAGATTCCTTGTCTCTGGCCAAAGTGTCCTTTTCTCGTATTCAATCTCCTTTCTTACAAACAGTAGTATTTCATTTCGAAATGCGTATTTCTCGTTTGCCTTTAAATATTTAGGCAATGGTGTCTCAGAAGAGGGAAACATTGGTCATTTTACCTCTTTCACAAATCCTAATACCTAAAGCCTGCATATATATTTAATTTTTAAACAAAGTAATCTCTAGAAAAACACTTTCTGTGATTCTGTGATTTTGCTGGTATATTCTTAGAACACAGTTTACCCTACCCAGCAAAATCATCACTTTGAGATATTATCAACAACTTACTTCACGTTCAGTCCATTTTGCCTCATCTCCTGAGGCATTAGAGAACAATTTACCTAATTGCAAAGTTAGCGTTAGATCTTTCTGCAGTATTTAGCTACCGTAGTTAAGTTATTTGTGATAGGTTACCATATGCGTAACATCTAAGAGGCTTTCGTTCTTCTTTCTGTTGGAAGTTCAGCCAAAGTGAACCTTCAAAAAAGCCTACAAAAAATTAGGCACTGAGGAAGGTATTTTTAACTGTGGTCTGTCATCCTTTTTATGTAGGGAAGAAGTGAAAGAGCAACTAGAAAAGAAAAAGAAAGGATCCAGGGCTTTGGCGGAGTTTGAAGAAAAGATGAACGAGGTTGGTAATATTTTTAGTATGTTAATACTTGATTTTCTTATGTTATATGCTAGTTTTCCTCTGTTATCATTAACAGCACCAAGTACCCATAATATTTCACTTCAGTCAAGCTTTTAATGCCTAAATGGTTTGTTTCATTTGTATTGAAAGTTAAGGTTACCACTTAAACCAATGGAGAGCTACTCTCAGTTCAGAGAAACACTATGTAAAAAGTTTTGCAAAATTGCTGCTGAATAAGACTTGAAGTTTTCATAAAGATAAATATAGTTATACAAATGCATATGTTGTTAATAAATGAAGCGCTTGCATTTTCTGGTGTGATAAAGTCTGTTGTGCTGTTCTTCGCTTGTTTAAGGTCATACAATCCAAATACATTGGAAGGAGGTGTATTACTGGAAACAGATGTCTTTGGCAAGGAATGTACACGTAATACTAATACAGGAGAAGGCACAAGGAATGGCCTTCAATATACAGATCGGACTCTAAAGCACTTCTTTCTCTCCGTCCTAAACCAACCATGTTCCATGCTGGCTCCCTACTATAAATGCATAGTTATGGTGCTTGTGTGCAGTACCTACCGGAGATCAGCACAGTATAAGAAAGCCTCTTATATATGTAGGAAGAAATTAGTATACAATTAATTTAAATGTTCTGTTCCTTCTTGGGTTCTGGTATCTGGAGATAAGCTTCAAGCAGTAGTCGTCATCATTGTGTGGGAGTTTGTGCTCGAAGTAGATTATGCTCCTCCTCTGTTACTGGAGGGGCATAGTACCCATCGTACTCTTGCTGTACCTTTTTGCCTAAGAAGTTACACCAGTATTTAGAGGGTCGTGGGGTACTATTCTGAGAGGCTCAGTTGTTCTGTGGTCTATGAGTTTTAGCTTGGTGAGTTTGGTTTATTATTTTATCGTATTCATTTCCTGCTTTTATCTTTGTTTTACTGTGAAATAATTGAAACTGGCATGGGTAGAAGATAACAGCCTTTCAGTATGACAGAAGGGTAGGAAGGGATGCAGGGAATCGTGAAATGGCCATGAGTTCTTCCTATAAAGCTCCAAGAATGAATCTGAACAGTCGAAAAGATTACAAGTCTCTGAATGAGGTGCTGTCTCCTATTTTACTGACAGGTGTTGTGCTAACACTAGCACAGCTGGAAAACAATTTAAAGAGAAAGGCTGCCTGATAAAGCCCAGGCTGTTGTTAGAGGCCCCTCAGGCAGCTCTGGGTGGCTGGTATATCAAAGTGCACAAGCTGTTGCTACCTTGGACTGTGGAAACACAGCGCTGTGTCCTGGCTGATCTGCCATGTCTCTTGGCAGCACTGTTCAGCTAATTCACAGTATGCTGACTTGGGAATCTGTGCATCGTACTGCATTGCACAGGTATGATCTTACTTAGTTCCTGATAGTTCTGTCCCCTCAGCACGACGTGTGGGTTGTCGTTGCTTTGCCGGTACAATACCAATACAGCTTCATTGTGAGAGAAAGGGGGGATCAGGACAATACTAAAGAAGGGACACATGATGTGTCTGATACAGGATGCAGGAATAGTGCCGATGGAAGCTGGCAGCCTCTCTGTCTGACGGGGGCAGGTTGGATGTTTCAGAGCTCTTGAAGGGGGGATTTTAGGTAGACGCAGTGACCTTGTAAGGGATTGAAAAAGAGTGAGAGGAGACTGTTACCCATGCAGTGTGCTTGGCCTAGCAAAAATAAGAACGTTTCTATGAAGATGTTTATAATAATTTAATCTAGTCATTGTTGACACTGACAAGGCCCAGAACAGAGAGTAGAGACACCCATACGTTGAAGAAGGGCTAGGAGAATTTGTCTTTGTCATGAGGTCGAGGCTGGGCTGACTACTAGACGAGTGACAGATGCTCTCTATTAAATGCTCTCCCTTCCCAGAATGGGAGAAAGAGAATAAGGGAGAGAGACTTACAGGTTGGAAAAAAACTAAAACAGCTTTAGTGAAACTATAACATTAAAAAGAAAATACAATAATATTAATAAGAAAGTAATGAAATATATACAAAACCAATATCGAACTCACCCGGATGACAGTCACATCAACACTGATGCTGCAGGGCAGGCATTGGGAAAATCCCGGACTGGACTCAACAGCAGATGGGAAGGATTTGGGAAACCACAGGTTGGGATTGAAGGCAGAAGAATGGAGAGAGTCCTCCTCGGACGCCGGCCATAGAACAAGAGAGCTTGACCCTCGTGATCCCTCAGCTCTGTACTGAGTATGATGAACATGGGATGGAATGCTTAGTTGGTCAGGTTTGGGTCACCCGTCCTGTCCGCTCCTACCTGCAGGTGCAGCCTTCTTACTTCCTTATGACCCTTTTCACGTCTGGGACCCCAACATGGGGAACAAGATTCAGCAGTGACCTTGGTTGCTAAAGGAGCAAATATAAGCAAGAGCCGCTCTGCATCCCGTTCCTTGGTAGTGACTGTAAACATCAAGCGCTGTCACTACTAGAAGCGGTCACTGTCTGGAAAAACATGCCATTAGCTTCAGAAAGTGCAGCCACTTAGAAGAGAAAAGTAGAATCACTGAACGGAGAATTGGTTCTATTCTGGCTCAAACCAGGACAGTCTTGAAGTTTTGTTTTGGGTGATTTTAAAACTAAGACAAAGTAGCAATTTTTCTGGTAGGGTGCCCTGGCTTTCTAAAGTGCTCTAGCAAGAAACGATACAAAAGCAAAAATACTGTAATTGATGACCTTCAAGATAAATGGCAATCTCTTAAATCCAAATACCTTGAACATGAGGTTTTGAACTAACATGGTGTTTCAATTAATATTAATCTTCTGTGAAAGCAAATGCATTATAGCCTTGGTTAACGTTATATTTTGTTTATTTTCTGTGGGTTTTGTGAAAACTGTAACGTCAGGTACAGGACAAGATTTAGAAAAAGGTCTGTTAAAAAAAGCTGTTTGGAAATGACTCTCATGTCACTCTTTCTTTTTGGTTTTGTTTTCAGAATTGGAGGAAAGAACTGGAAAAGCACAGGGAGAAATTACTGGGTGGAAATGAGAGTTCCTCTAAAAAGAAAGAGGTAAGTTAGTTTCAATTTCATACAGCCTGTGTTTGGAACTGGAATTGTCATCGATGCTGCCGATACAGAATGTCATAAATACGTTTTCAAAACCAGCATCAAAGTACATAAACCTAAATGCACAGCAAAAGCACATGATGCCAAAGTAACATTTATTTCATTCTATTTTTAAGAAAAAGAAAAAGGAAAAGAAGAAATCTAATAGGGTGAGCAAAATTTTCAGTTTTCTGAGCCTTTTTCCTATTTGTCATTTAAGTTCTCTTGGAAAGAGAGACTATAGTTGTAATTTTAAATTTAGCTATTAAGTTAACTGATTTTTATTTGAGAAGGGTGGTGTACATTCTGTACAAGGAGAATTTTACTTCTGCTTAAAGGGAGGAAAAGAGCATTAAATAGATACTATTAAATAAAGAAATTATAGAAGTGACTTTTTACAGTTTTATTTAAGAAAAATCTATGTAAGACCAGCTTCTTGGAAGTAAAATTCCATTGCTAATACTTTACAAATGAAGAAATTTTAAAGGGGGTGTTTGGATGGACCTTTGACTATTTGCCAGACAAAATGCTGCATCTCACAAGCTTCACTTTTTGTTGTGTTTGGTCAAGTTGTCTTCATCTTCCTCTTCTTCATCAAGCTCTGATTCTTCCAGCAGTTCATCTGATTCAGAAGATGAGGTAAGAACTAACTTAGTAGAATGTGACACATTTTGTTCGTGAGGCTTACTTAACACAGGTTTTGGTAATACATTTTAGAATAGTGTTTGAGGGCTTGGTTTGCGTAAAACTATTTACGTAATTTTAATCATTTGGTACATAAAATACAGTTGTGAGTTTTAGATATGTCTCTGTTCAAGAATTTCTTTATGAGCATGATAACTTTTGAGTGGCTGGCTTGTAAACTGGATCCATTTCTGGTTTAACGTTAATTGTATGCTTTTTCAATAGAATCCCCCATCTAATCATAAAAATGCAAACACACCATTTTTACTTTTTAGCAAAAACCTTTTTTTACAGATAACCAGATTCTACAGCACACATCTAAATAATAAACAGAATCTAGAGAACCTGGATTTTTCACCAGTTTACATTTTTTCAGTGCAGAAGAGTTATGAAGGTCCTCTGCTAAAAGAATCAATTGCAGTGTACTTTATTCCTCAAGAGAACATGATAACATGTAGGAATTTGGTGTACCCTATTCTTTACATTTGATGTATATCTGTAATTCTAGTCAGAATAAATTCAGGGTTGTGTTTTTCTTTTTTCCTACAATATTTGTGGATAGGATAAAAAGCAAGGGAAGAAAAGAAGGAAAAAGAAGTATCGCTCCTCAAGGAAATCTTCAGCAAGCTCAACTTCTGAATCCGAGTCAGACAGCAAGGTAAATATGCATATGTTACCCTTGGCAAGTTTTCTTGAGCCGTGTTATAAAGACATTTGACTTTCGCATATCAATTTTTTTTTCTCAAATTTAAATTTTTGCGGGGGGGAGGCTGGGTGTTTTGAAGGATCACCTCTTCCAAGCTCAGGAGCAGTCCATCGTGACAAGCAGGAACGTAAGTAAAGGCGGCAGGAGGTCTTCATGGATGAACAAGGAACTCCTGACAAAACATGGACATAAAAAGGAAACATACAGGAGGTGGAAGTAGGGACAAGTGACCTAGGAGTCTAAGCATGCGAGTATAGCATTAGGAAAGCCAAAATCCACCTGAAGTTAAATCTGGCAAAGGAGGTGAAGAGCAATAAGAAACATTTTACAAGTATACCAGCAGCAAAAAGAAGGCTAAGAAAAGTGTGGGCCTGCTGCTGAATAGAACAGAGGACCTAGTGACAAAGCATGTGGAAACAGCCAAGGTGCACAATGCCTTCTTCACCTCAGTGTTGACTGGTGAGACAGGTCTTCAGGAATCCCAGGTGCTGAGTGGCGCTTCTGTCTTTCAGATGCAATCAGGAATCTACCTCCGCTGGCTACAATGCCTGGCAGAAGTAATTTGATCTTTAGAAAATGAACATGCTTTATTCCAGCAATTTTTAGCTATTTTTCTGAATTCAGACATGGATGGCTTTTGTGCTGCTCAAATGTTTAGTTTTAATACTACGTTAATGCTTAAAAAAAAAAACGTTCTGTGAATTTCTTGTGAATGTACTGTTAAACTGGACAGTATCTGTGAAAATACACATTAGATGTACGTTATATGTGGTTACAGTGGTGGTAGCTGGTATCCTTTCCAGAGGCTTTCTACATGTACTGCGAGTACTCTGTTACTTGATTCCATACAGACCTTTTCACACTGCTGGTTCAGGAAATTAGCAGCTGCATCAAAATTGTGGCTTTTTCATATTTTTCCTGTTAACTGCAAGGTAGAAATAATAACTTTGAAAAACAACCTTCCATAGACTCAAAAAGACAATGGGTCAAACTGCTTTTGGGATTTCTGCCATTTTCCTGAAATGATTTTGTCATGTTTTGTGTTTTCCTTTCTACTTAGGACAGCACAAAAAAGAAAAGGTCAAAGGAAGATTATGAAAAAGAGAAGGTATAATGGAGCTTTTTCTTTTTTTTTTCTTAGTATTAAATGCCTCAGTTTAAACTTAGGGAAATTTTCTGTCCAAAACTACACAGTCAGAAGGTATTCAGTACCCCTGATTTGAGGTAGACTTTTAGTTGGGTTCAGCTCCTGTTTTAGTAATTGTTGTTAGTGGAAACTGGTAGATCAGTTCTGGTTATGAAGGTACATTAAAGTATCTAATCTGCTGTAGTAATCAGCTGCATTCTAGAATTTTTGGGTTTGTCTTGAGCAGTCACATTGAGCTAAAAATGTGTGTGATGATATTTCAGTGACACGTCTGGTAGGATATCATGGTAAGTGGTGAGACACTGGCACAGGCTGCCTAAGGCAGCTGTGGATGCTCCATCCATGGCAGTGCTGAAGACCAGGTTGGATGGAGCCTTGGGCAACCTGGTCTGGTGGGAGGTGTCCCTGCCATGGCAGGGCGGTTGGAACTAGAGGGTCTTTGAGGTCCCTTCCAACCCAGACCATTCTGTGATTCTATGATTCTATGGCTTGTTGCTGTGAATTAGGGAGCATCAAGCAGAGGATATATTTATCTAAATGTAGTCATAGTTGTAGATATTGTACTTACGACAGCTTTGAAAAATTGCAGAGAAAAATGTATTAGCTTAAGAAAAATTACCTGATGCGGCTTTTATCTGAGCACGAAAACTTTCTCTCCTTCCCATCACCTCACCATTTTGTACTACATCTGAGGACTTTCTTCCTTCCATTATGTTTAATGCAAATAGTCTTGTTGACTTGATTTTTACTTAGTTCTATGTGTAAACTAACAGTGTTTTCAGAGTCCACCCTAGTCTTCCTCTCCAGTTACCCTTCTTAGCACATCAGCCCCTGCTACTCCAGTCAACAGTATTGACTTTGATGTACAGCTTCTCCGTTGCATAAGGCAAATGTGTTGATTTTTTTCCCCCCCTTGCTCCTGCTTCCACTTCACAGAGTTTCTCTTTCCCACCAACTCCTTTTAACTTTGAGTAGCTTCTCTTCGAAGACCAAGTGTCTACCGTAGCCCCTTATTGCAATGCTACTTTCACGCATCTTCTGAAAGCAAAGGGCATTTGGGGCCTAGAGGTCTTCTCTACCTGAAGATCCGCTGTCTCTCAAATGGGCTGCATCATGTACTCTTCATGAGTACTTTTGGGAAAGGATTGAGGTACCTATAATAGACTAAATAGCACAGCTGAGATGTGTGATTCCACCTTGCAGAAAGATAATTAGCAAGAATTTTTTCAGTCTCTAGCCTTAGAAACTGAGTGGAGGAAAGTAGCTTCAGTCTTGGGAACGCCTTGCCTCATCCAGAGCAAAGCGGGGGGCTGGGGG